CCAAAATACATGGGTTCTCAAGTTCCTTATATACAATGGCACACTCCTTGCATATAAGCTACTAGCATCCTCCCTTATCATTCAAATGATATCTAGATTACTTGTATGGAACCCTAGTGGGACTGTAAACATTGGACTGCTAGCTGTAAGGTAAACAGTTCAAACCACCAGCCACTTTTAGGGAGAAAGCTGAGGCTCTCTGCTCCAGTGAGCATTTATAGCTGAGAAACCCTATACAGACTTGCTGTGAGTCCTAATCAACTGGCTGGCAGTGGGGTTTTGACACATAAAATAACTAACACAATGTAAATGCTACACATAAAGCTTATGCTTCTTCTTGGATTTTGAGGGATTATTTAGGAGCTAATTTTCCCCTAATACTTTCAATCCATGTTTGGTAGAATCCATGATTATGAAAAGCTGATGGCACTGTCTCAATTAGCTGAGAAGGGTATCACAGATACTCAATTCATAAGCTGTGTGACCAAGATTTCTATCCTTCTTGGTTTGACGAGAGAGCCTGGTCTTTACACATTTCAACATGCTGCCTTTCCTGAATAATTAAAAACATTGAGAAAGACTCTTTTGCTCTCTTAAAAAACAAACAACAACCAAAAAGAGAAGAACAAGGTATTTTTATAAATTAAAACATGGCCACATGATCCATTATATATGATAGCTAATTTAAAATGAGTAGGTCATACAAAGAAATTTATATACTATGTAGAGGTTGATTTATACTCTATTTTTTACCTGTTTTTAGAAAGTCAATTAGGTTTCCCTGATGTAGTGCAGGAAAGCATAAAATTGGATTTTAACTTGGAAGGGAACATCTAGGTTCTGTCTCAGAGCCCTGAGTAGCCCACAGGAGTCACACTGGTGACCCCAGGGAAATTACAAACTGTAATCTTTGCTCATATTTGCCTTATTTCCACTTCTGGTCCAGCATCCTTTTTTTTTTTTTAAAATAAAGAAATCAATGTTTACTTATCAGCTGGGTTCTTTGGCTCCAGTGGGAGAAACTCTCTACCATCAGAACAAAATAACTTACTTACTTCTTCATTTCTTGTATTCAGTACACAACAAATTTTAAGTAGAGAATAATTATATTGGGAACTTTCTTTGTAACTGGATTATAAGCATGGACACATAAGCAGTGTTCTTAAGCTTATTAAGCATTCTCATTTATTTTGTGTATGGAATACAAAACCCTTATAGCATTAGTGATAGCATATAGATCTTGGATATTTGAAAACATTCTTTCATTGTTTTTCAGTTAATTATAAGTAATGCAAGTTAATATTAAAATTGCAGAGCAGTAAGACAGATGACCCAGAAAAGCCCATGGTTGGACCATATACATTTTCAGATATCCTATAATTATAATAGAAAAAAGATAAATGAATTTTAACCTAAGAACAAACCTATTTAGTAATTAGTCCCTAATGTAGTATACTATTGCTGCTGACTGCTTTGTTACAACCAATATTGAATTAAAATATGAATCTTAAACCCAAGCCCTATTAAATAGGAAATCACTAATATGTTGATTATTGTTGTTAGGTTCAATCTAGCTGGTTCCAATTCATAGCAAACCTAACTACAAATCACTGCTCAATCATACACCATCCTCACAATTGTTCTTGTGTTTGAGGTCATTGTTGCAGTTACTATCAACCCATCTCAGGAGCCTTCCTAATTTTTATTTCCCTTCCACTTCAAGTAGCATGGTAACTTTTCTAGGGATTGGTCATTCCTGATAACATGTTCAAAGTATGTGAGACAACGTCTCTTCATCCTAGGTTCAAAGGAGGATCATAGCTGTACTTCTTCCCAGACAGATGCATTTGTCTGGGCCAGTTCATGGTACTTTCTATCTATAGTCTTGGCCGAGACCATAATGCTAATATATAAATTATTGTCCAGCCTTTCCTTTTTTCAATGTCCAGTGTCCATATGCATAGGAGGTGATAGAAAATACTATGGTTTATGAGCCCTGGTGCCAAAGTGGTCGTGCATTGGGTTGTTAACAGCAAGGTCAGCAGTTTCAAACCACCACCAACTCCAGAGGAGAAAGACTGGGCTTTCTACTCCTGTAAAGAGTTGAAGTCTCAGACAGGCACAGGGGCCGTTCTACCTGACCCTGTGGTCTCTCTGAGTAGAAACCATCTCAACAGCACCTAAAAACAAGTCAGTTGTACCTTAATCTTCAAATATCCTTGTTTTTCAACACTTTAAGAGTTTTTGTACAACACGTTTACCCAGTGCTTTGATTTCTTGACTGCTGCTTCCATAAGCATTGACTGTGGCCCCAGCAAATGAAAGCCTTGACAGCTTCAATCTCTTCTGTGTTTATCCTGATGTTACATGTTGGTCCAATTGTGAGACTATGGGGTTTCTTAATATTATTGTTCTATCAATTCCTGGACTTATTTTGGCGAATGCATTCAAAGAAGCTTGGTCTTGTTCCTTCAGTTTTTGATCATATGCCATCTCTTGAAATGGTTGAATGTTGACCATTTTCTTTTGGCAGAGTAATTTTTGGTATCCCTGCCATCTTCCTTTGATGCTTCCTGCATATTTCAAAGGTTTGTCCACAGAATCTTTTAATATTGCAACTCAAGGCTTCCCCGCCCCCTTCAGATCTTTCAGCTTAAGACACGATGAGTGTGTTCCTCCTTTATGGTTTTCTAACTCTAGGTCTTTGAACATTTCATTATAATACTTGGTTGTCTAGAGTTGCCTTTTGAAATCTTCTGTTCAGATCCTTCATTTCATCATTTTCTCCATTTGCTCTAGCTTTTCTACAATCAAGAGCAGATTTTAGAACCTCTTCTGATATCACTGTGAATTTTTCTTTCTTTCCTGTCTTGTTAATGACCTTCTGTTTTACTCCTGCATGCAGCTCATTAAGTCTTCTGTAATTAAAGTTCAATGAATTAAATCTATTCTTAGAAGGTAAATGTATTCTTGAGATGTTCTTGAAATTCAGGAAGGATATGGTCAAGGTCGGTTTTGGAGGACACTTAGGGATTTGTTTAACTTTTCTTCAACTTCAATCTGACTTACATATGAGCAATTGATGGTCTGTTCTGCAGTCAACTCTGGGCCTCATTTGACTGTGGATGTTGAGCTTCTCAGTCAGGTCTTCTCACAGATGTAGTTCATGTGATTTGTGAGTATTCCATTTGGTGCATGTATAATGATTCTTGTGTTGTTGATAAAGGTATTTGCAAGGAAGAAGCTGTTGGTCTTGCAGAATTCGATTATGGGATCTCCAGCTTTGTTTCTACTACGAGGACACGTTTTCCATCGACTGCTCCCTTTTCTTTGTTTCCATCTTCTGAATTCCAATCACCAATAATTATCAATGCATCTTGATCTCATGTTTGATCAATTTCAGACTGAAAAAGCCAGCAGGATTCTTCAATGTATTCATTACTAGCATTGGTGGTGGGGCAAAAGCTTGAATAATAGTTGTATTGATTGGATTTCCTGTTACTCATATGGATATAAGGATATAATCCTGTCACAGACAACATTGTACTTCAATGTAAATCTAGAAATGTCCTTTTTTGCCAATGCAGGTGACAGCATTCTCTTTGAATTTGACATTCCTGGCAAACTAAATCATCTGATTATCAGATTCAAGATGGAAAATACCAGTCCATTTCACCTCACTAATGCCTAGGTTCTTGATCTTTGTGGGTTTCATTTAATTTTTGATCACTTCCAATTTTCCTAGATTCAGGTTTCATACATTCCAAGCTCTAATTATTAATAGGCATTTCCAGCTGTTATGTTCTCATGCTGCATCATGCTCCATCAACAAATGGAGGTCCCCTTAACGTTAGTTGATCCATGCCATTATGGTCAACTCAGCTTTGAGAAGGTAGCGCTTCTTCAGTCATATCTCTTTTAACCTGAGGGGTTAATCTTTTGGAACAGATTCTCAGAATTTTCTGCTGTGAGTTATGAGAATTTCAGTGTCTGACGATGTTCTGCTGCTGTTCAGAGGGTTTTCAGTGGCTAATTTCTCTGAAGTATAAAGTCTATTCCTTCTTTGTAGTCTGTTCTTAAGCTGGATGCACGGCTGAACCCTGGTCACCTTGGGAGACACTGCTGGGATTTGACATGGCCACCACAGGAAGACAAAATGATTGACCAGCGGTGGTACTAATATGTAATATATAATATACATATAATTCATAAGGAAATAATCATTTGAACAATTAAATATATGTGTTTATGTAGTTATGATAATGCCAGTTGCTTGTAGTTCTAAATATAATCGATTTCAAATAGTATAGACCAATATTTCTCAAGGGGCTTAAAAAGTCAATATGATTGTAATAATCATTCTGACATACGCTTTGCCATTTTTCACTCTCTCTCTCATGGATGTCTATGGAACTTTCCAGAGTTGAGATACACATAAAATTGCGGGTGTTACCCTTATAACAGATTGAATGTCAAAGCAGATATGAGGATCTAGCTATTTTCTATTAAACTAGATAATAACAAAATTTACAAAAATGAAAAATAATGCTATTCATCTGGTTTTCATTTTGTAAATGTATTATGTTTCATAAAAGATGTTCATGTTAACATACAATAGGTTATTACAATGTTTTCAATAAATCAATATATGTATTTTACATTATCAAATTTTGTTTTAAAACTACAAATATTAATAAATGTGTCTGGCAAAAATGCAAGCTCCTTGGTGCCTACAGTAAATTTTAGATCCTAAACTTTTGAAACTGTTGTTACAGGAACAAGAAAATATTATTCATCTAGTGTTAAACATTTCCTTTTCTATTATAATTTCCAATGATAAAGGCCCATTGAGTCCTTTTAAAATATGAGAAGTTATTTAGCATAGACCTATTCTAAAACTCTTAAAGCACTTTATTCATAACACGAAAACTACTAAGCATCTTAGAAATCGCTCCATTTACAAGCATATTTATAACTTAACCAAAATAAATAATTCATACCTCACCAAGTGAGTAATAACGTCTTGGGATCTGGGAGTCCGGATAGATATTTTCAAGGTACCAAGAAAAGGGCTTACACTTCAGATTTTCTCTTAGTGTTTTTCTGACTGACACATCGCCATAATCCACCTTGACAACACCTGGAATATTTCACAGAAACATGTAAATTAGTCTGTGCTATTTTCATTTTAGCACTGTCATCCTGTTTACTATCAGGTTTGTTTCCCCTCTATAATTATCATGCCAGCTGCTACTACCTGGTTTTCATGCTATCATTCAATTAGTAACTTGAAAAGAAAACGAAATACACTCTCTTCTCTTGTTATGACTTATCAAAAGCAAATATTTATCACCAAGTATTTGTACTTCTTTGGCTGAACAATGAATCAATTACTGGTAAGTAAAATATTGATATCAATTTAGCATCTTACAATCAAATTTTAAGATCTGTTCTGTTTCTCCTTAAGAAAATGTCAATGGCTCCAACATTTTTTGAAAATGTTCATATTATCCTTATAGTTTAATTTATTCACCAATGATAGAATTTAAATAAATATGACCCTCATAATGAAGTATACATAAATGTTGTCATTCCCCTCTTTCAAACTTTTAGACTATCTGAGTTTACTGTAGACTTGACTGTTTCTTCATTGATTGTGTTGTTATTGTTTATGACTTACTGTAAATCACTTCGAGTCCTTAGAAAAAGTAAGTTAGTAGTAAATAAGTATAAATCAACTAACATATAAACAAACTGACAGGAATATATCCATGTGTATATTAAGATTTCTTATATGTAGTTCATATAATATGAACTAAATGAAATACATATGAAATATATGAAATAAAAATTAACATTTTTATTTTTATCATAACAGAGCACTTTGTAGTTTGGAAATAGAAACAATAATACCACTAATATTTCTATAAACACACAGAGCAACTTATAAATTGCTCATTGTTATTTACTAACAGTGACATTTGTCTGAAATGAAGAAATAATTGTTACACATTTTCAGTTATTCTCTAGGATAGTTTGAGAGGTTTAACTTGTATCTTTAAGGTCAGTACATAACCAGGCTTGGCATAGGCAAAAAGAAAACAAACCAAAAAAAGCTTCATATTTAGGACTTTCTATGCCAAACAAATAACAAAGAGGATTGATCATTCTGTAAAGTAAGGAGGAATTGTTTAAAGACCTTTCATATCAGGATCTGTTGCCCTCAAAAGTGCCAGTGTGTTTGAAGCTCATCATGTATTAGGCCTCATTCTCTGGTGCGACCCTCTCCTCTGCCGAACAGACTCTCTATTTTTGGTTAGAAAGCATTCAATTGATGTTCAAACAGCCCACCCATTTCCTTCCTAAAGAAAATATTGATTTTTCTAGTTGGGCCTTGAACAGAAAACAACTAGATTTTGGGGCTTTTTAAACAATTATTTGCTTTCAAAATAATTCTCTCTAGAACTTCCAATCTGGAGTATAACTTTCAAAGACACTCAAAGCATTTATCAAAACAAACCACTAAAAGTTTTATTATGTTAAATGTTCTAGCAATTGAAACTATCTAATCCCAGTGCTTAGTCCTCAAAATCATGTAAAGAGATGCCATTGGGTCCAGGGAACAGGGATGCACTGTGCCTTAACCAGACTGTTTACAATAGTCAGTCTTACTGTGCTGGTTTCATTTTTGAGGTAACTTTAATTGAGGTGAGCTAGTTCATCACAGCAACTCCCTCTTTCATCATGCAGATATGCAATACTCATGGCTATAGCACATTTCCCTAGGAGGCGTTTATGAGTAGTTTTCTGAGCTGAAGGATTGCTTGGAGATTTATTTGCATATCACTTTACATTAGATCAGAAAAAACGTCCATTGCCCATATCATATTTGGCAAAGAGTAGTAAGTGACACCTTTTCACCTGCCACCTCTAAACCATCCTTTGTCACTGTCACTGGGGCCTGCATTTTATTGTAATCTAGGAGAATTATTTTAAATAATATTTCCCCAAACCAAACTCAGTTATTCACTCTATAGCAAGTCATTTAGACCCTATGGAACAGGGTAGAATTTCTCCTATGAGTTTCTGAAATTCTGACCCTTTTATGAGAATTGAAAGCCTCTCCTTTCTCCAACAAATTATTTAGGAATATGCAAATATATATCTTAATATTTGGGTGAGGAGATATATATTTTTTTCATAAGTGAGAGATTATGTAAGAGACAGCAGAGTTCACCAAACATTCCATGTACTCCTCCACATTTCCCATACTCCTGCAGTTAAGCAGGGAGAGACAATTGGTCTTGACCAGTGGACTCTGTCACTTCAAGTCTAAATCCTAGAAGAACAGGTAGGAAAATGTCCAACCCTCTCTTCTTGAGTCCAGATGGTGCATTTATACGCTAACAGGGCTGGTCACTGAGTGCTGGAGTAGAGCCCCGTCCATTCCCCTTGCCCTCACCTTCACATTCACCTCATCATTTAAGTGGAACATGTATAAATATATTTTTTCTTAAACATATGAGCTCTTACAATTTTTTGTTAACTTAGCCTACATTCACCAATTCACCTTTTTTCCCCCCCTCTCACCCTTCACTGAGGATTGTGGAGAGAACATAAGAACGAATGTGTCTGCTCCTGATTTGTGGTCATCAGTCTTGATTATTTCCTTTTGTACTGGAGTGCAATTGTATCACACGTTCTCTTCGTCACACCATTTACTCCCATGTTGACTCAGTTGCACTTTCTTTTCATGCCTCAAATTTCCAGTACTTGTTGTCACTCACATCCAATAACAGTGAAGAGTGTTGCACAAGAAAATCAAAATACTCAGAATAGAGACCTGACCCACATGTCAATATGGATTTCTGTTTCTGCCTGATCCCCTGTTAAGCAGAGCGACACTCTTTCAAACTCTTTGAAGTTAATGATTCTACTAACACTTAGGATTCTATTGTTTCCTGCTACTTGAAAGAGTTATTAAAATAAGTTGTTAAAAAAATAAGTTATTCTCCATGAAATATCATTTTCCCTATACTTTGGATCATTCCTGACAAGAATGAAAAATGGCTATTATCTGGTTTGTTTTTATGCCATATAAAAACCAACAACCCCCTCCCCCCCAAAAAGAAATCCCAACAACCATATAAAAAAGTAAAAAAATCACCTTCAGAGATTCTATGTCTCCCTACTGTTTTTCTGTTGCACCCTGATCGACCTGCTAATTCTATTACCTTAGCGCTCGCATACTCTTCTGAACAAGTCTTCACCCTCCCCTAGTGTTCAATTCTCAACCTTTGTTTATTCTGCCATAAAGGAACATTTCTGTGTAACTGACCACTCCCTTCTTGGCACCTTTCTACCAAGAAGGTCTCCTGGTTTCCAGGAGGCCAAACTCTCCATGGGACCCCCTATTCTCTGATGCCTCTTTCTCTGGGGCATTTGTTGAGTCCTAATTGGGTCCACAAAGTATCCCAGGAGTTTAAATGAGATTACTCAGATCCATGACTTCCAATACTATCTCACTTGTCTCTAAATTCTAAATGACAACACACACCCCTCCAACTTCTTGCCTAGTATATTTATTTCAACGCCTAATTAAAAAAGCAAAAATGTGTGCCAGGTAGCTAATTGTGATCCATAGCAACCCTGGGTGACAGAGAAGAACTGCCAGACAGGGTTTCCAAAGAAGCCGACAGTGTACAGACACAGCCGACGACATCTTTGTCCCGACAGAGTGAATGGTGAGTACAAACCACCACATTTCCTGGTTAACAATGGCCTGATTTCCTCACTGTGCCATAGGGCTCCTGGGATATGTAGTACAAAAATTCAAAGCTGATATACAAAATAGTTATTTTAATTCTCCAACTTGTTCTATTTCTGAGGTTGTCTACAGCAGTAACTAGCACACATGCGCACTCATTTTGCCTGCATAAAAACATGGCTAAGTCTCTTTAGCTCTCATACATATTCACTGTATCAGCAATTACTGCTGACTCTGTGTTTCCACTATATCGTTGGCCTATTTATACCATCTTGCTCTCAGTTATTTTAAAATCATTCCTAGACTAGTAGACTTTTATATCATTCAATAGTCTCCTACCTGGTCTCCCTGATATTTTGCATTCTCCCATCTATTGTTTATTTGACATTGTCTACAGACAATGTCTATAAGAATATAAATCAAATCATGTAACTCTCCTGCTCAAAAAATTCTTATGCTTTTCCATTGTATTAAGAATAATGGACCATCTCAATGCCCAGAGATCTGTTATGAGTTGGCTCCGGTCCATCTCAGAGCTCAACACCTATGCTCACTTCTTGTTAGTCACCATGGCTCTTTCTCCTGCTTTTCTTTTCTTCACAAGTGCTAAGAATGTTCCTAATTCAAAACTTGATACTCTTCCTGTGTATGTTTGAAATGTGAATACCCTGGTGCTTTGTCTCTATTTCTGCTTAAATTTCAATTCCTCCGAACCTCAAAGGAATTCCTTCTTCATATTGTCCTCTGATAGGCTGTATGCTTCTACACTCCATACTTGCCCCCATAACAGGTATTGATATTGCACGGTAGATTAAGAATGCTATTAAATTACAGAGCAATTTATTCATTGTCTCTCAATAACAACTTTAGACAAAATCAATGAATTCCTTGAAGCCTGACTTTTCAAATAATGTCTTATAAAATGTCATGCAAATTAAATTAAATAATGCCAGAAAATGTTAGAACAACATTGCTATTATTTATTACTGATTATAAAACACTGTCTGTATAGCAGATTTTGAGTGCTGGTGGTGTAGAGGTTATGCATCAGACTGCAATCTGCATGGTTAGCAGTTCAAAACCACTAGCATCTCCATAGGAGAAAGACTGGGCTTTCTACTCCTGTAAGTAGTGAGAGTCTCGGAAACGCACAGAGGGTCACTGTGAATCTGCTTAGACACGATGAACATGCGAGATAGCATATTCTCATGGATATCATTATGTTGCATGTTCAGCAACCATCTAGAGTCTGGTTAATAGCACTCAAATCACCTTTGGGCAACCAACCATCCTATTCTCCTCTTGATATCAGTTTGGGTAGGTTGTGTTGGGCTGATCTCCTTCCCCTTCCTCAGTTGAGGAGCTCAGAGTAA